AACAACAACAACAAAAATTTCCTTTATAAAAATAAATAAATGTTTGAGAATTCCAGATTTATAAATGCAAAGGGACAGGGAAAGAATAGTTTTCCTGGGGCCAGAAGAGCAGGCATTGAATTTACAACTTATTAGATATATGGTACAGGGTGTGCTTTAGTTCTCTGAGGCTGTTTCCTCATCTGTAAAATAGGAAATTCCTACTTCAGAGAGTTGTTACAAGAATTAAATGTGAAAACATACAAAAATGCATCTGGCATCTTTAAGTTCTACAGACATTCAACACATTTTATTAAATAAACACACAGCTTGGCCAATGTAGCTTAGTGGATTAATCATCATCCTGTGGACTGAGAGGTCCCAGTTCAATTCCTGGTCAGGGTAGGGTATGCCCAGGTTGCAGACTTGATCCCCAGTAGGGGGCATGCAGGAGGCAGCTGATGGATATTTCTCTCACATCAATGTTTTTTTCTCTCTCTCCCTTCCTCACTCTCTAAAAAGATCAATAAAAACATATTTAAAAATAATAATAAACACACATGCCCTGGCCGATTTGGCTCAGCAGTTAGTGTCAGCCTGCAGACCAAAGAGTCTCGGGTTCAATTCCGGTCTTATATGCTTTATTTTAAAATGCTAAACTAGCCCTGGCCGGTTTGGCTCAGCAGTTAGAGCGTCGGCCTGCGGTCCTGAGAGACCTGGGTTCGGTTTCCGCTAAGGGCGCGTACCTCGGTTGCAGTTTGTCCCCGGCCCTGGTCGGTTGTGCGGGTGGCAGCCACTCGATGTGTTCCTTTCACATCGATGTTTCTTTCTCTCTCTGTTCCTCTCTCTCCCTCCCACTCTACCTGAACAAAAAAATGGAAAAATGTCCTCGGGTGAGGAATAAATAAATAAATAAATAAATAAATAAATAAATAAAATAAAATGCTAAACTAGCCCTGGCCAGTTTGGCTTAGTGGTTAGAGCATCAGCCTGAGTACAAAGAATCTCGGGTTTGATTCCTGGTCAAGGGCACATACCTCAGTTATGGATTTGATCCCCGGCCTAGTCAGGGTCATGCAGGAGACAACCAATTGATGTGTCTCTCTCATATCCAAGTTTCTCTCTCCCCTTCCCTCCCTCCCTCCCACTCTATCTAAAAAAGTCAATGGATTAAAAAAAATACTAATTTTTTAGAAAAAAATATATCAGAGTCCAATTAACTTCTTAGAGCAATAAATCGGGACTCACAGAACTCTAAAATTCTTATGTACTTCTACGTGGTTAAAGGGAGATACCGAATTAGCCTTTCTATTTTTCATTCTCAATTTCAAAATGAAAATAAAATTCCCAAACAAAAAATATTTAAATAAATGTGAGAATCTTTTATAAAGCAATATACAAACATATACCAATTTTGCCATTTTTTAACTTAAATATTCTATTTAAAAAGAAATGGTTAGGTACATTATAGTACATTTGCAGGATATTGTTTACTCAAAGTGTTTAAAAGCAAGGTAAAAATGCTTGTTACAAAATAGCAACATAATAATACTTGCTGTCTTTAGCTGATAGTTTTATGGTGTTTTATTCCAGTTTTCTATTTTTCACAATTTTTATAATAAAAGTTTCTAATGTGCCATAGTCCTTTTTTAGGCCAAGTGCTGTTCTATAAATCTTATAAATATATTTTTAGTCATTACAACATCACTACAAGAGAGCTATAAGGATGAAGATATATGAGGACAGGGTAAACAATTTGCCCAGTTCAAATAGCTTGGAAGTGAGAGAGCTGGAATGGGAACCAAGAAAATCTGAAGCCAGGCCCTTCACTCCACTCTTACCCTCTACAGCAGCGGTTCTCAACCTGTGGGTCACAACCCCTCTGGGGGTCAAACAACCCTTTCACAGGGGTCGCCTAAGACCATCAGAAAACACATATTTCCGTTGATCTTAGGAACTGAGACACTGCTCCTCTATGGTCTCCAGGCGGGTCCACCCACATGTAGATATGCCCACATACAACATGAGGAATTGTAATAAAGGGTCGCGGCATTAGGAAGGCTGAGAACCACTGCTCTACAGTATTGTATTGTATTAACTCTGAGCCAATGGGTTAAGATTGGGGGGGGGACGGGACTAAATTAAAAGACTGTTAAAAAACTGACTACCGGCCCTGGCCAGTTTGGCTCAGCAGTTGGAGCGTCAGCCTGCGGACCAGAGTCCTGGGTTCAGTTCCCTCTAGGGGCACATACCAAAAAAAAAAACTTGACTACCGTACATTTGTGGAGGTGTTTGCTTTATGAGGGAGTTTAAGGAATATTTCCTTAGTTATAATTAATCTATTCTGCTTTTTCATATAATTTTACTTTTAAAGGATACAATTTTTAAATCTAAATGTCTTGACATTGAAACTGACAACATACACTACCTTCTATTCCTTTGTCTTTCTTATACTATCTTCTAATAAATGGTTACTTTGCACAGCAAAATCAGATAAAGCTTGCCAAGTATCTGCATTAATACAAGTCATCTATTCACTAGCTAATGGTTTAAAAAACATCAACAGCAAAAGACAAGTTACAACTTTCAAAAGATTGATAATTATAAAGTTATATTTAAAATGATAAAATATAATCTATTCCCAAGAACAAAAACATCTGCCCAGCCCTGGCCAGTTTGGCTCAGCGGTTAGAGCATCAGTCTGCGGTCCAGAGAGACCTGGGTTCGGTCGCTGCTAAGGGTGCATACCTCGGTTGCAGTTTGTCCCCGACCCTGGTTGATCGTGCGGGGGGGCAGCCACTCGATGTGTCCCTTTCACATCGATTTTTCTCTCTCTCTCTCTCCCTCCCACTCTATCTGAACAAAAAATAGAAAAATGTCGAGTGAGGATAAAAAAAAAAAATCTACCCAATAAATCATTTACTTAGTGAATAGATTAGATGCAAACTGTAATAAACAACAAGATTTCAAAATTATTTACTGTATTCTCACAGAAAAAAAAAAGGGAGGATCCTAGATTACAGAAACTCTCCCATTAACAGGTTTCACTCAATCTACTACCAATTCAAATTCAACTCAAATGTAAGCAAATTAGTTGGACTAGAAAATGCTAATGTGAAAAGCTTTTTGAAATAGAAATATCACTCCCCCGCACCATGAATACCAGAAAGATAAATGACATCTTGCTGTGTAAAACTGGCAGGGCTGAAAATCCCACCACTAAATGCCATCACTAAGTTGTTGACAGTGGATACTGAAAAGGTTAATAACGTTTTAAAGGGTACAGGTAAAAGCAACTGTGAAAAATGCGTTGCTTGCATGACTTTTGCTCAGCCTTTTGTGGAGTATGGATTATCAGATTATTCACAAGACAATGAAACACCCAGCAGATGCAGGATGAGATACCAGACCAGTCCAACTGCAAAGTGGACAACAGGGCCATGAAGACTAAGTCAGCAGGAACTGCCAAAAGCTAGAGGCAGAGTATATAACCTACACTCCAACTGTTATTCAGGGCTGACTCCCTTTTCGAACTCAGCCCACCTGCCCCCAGGTGTTTAGAATACAGCTACTTACTCTACATGGGCCCTGAGTTGTGGATGTGATCTCCTCTTGGCTCAGACCTTTTAGATACCAAGCCTGGCTTCATACATAGTGGAAAATTCCCTCTAAAGTATAGAACAGGCAAAGGAGAGAAAGACAAGCAATATGCAAGTACATGTAATATAAATTTTGTTACAATAGTTGAAGTAGGTTGAGAAATAAGTCAATCAGGTCCAGAAAACAAACTGAGGGTACAAGGAGGCAGTTCATTCTATGGTATTAACGCTCTCAAACTCAGTAGATGGAGTAGCCCTTTCGCATAAATCCTCATCTCAGTCTGCACAGGGAAAGGTAAGTGATCTTTTCAAGGAGAGCCGTTTCCTGAATTTCCCCTCATGAACGCGGAGACCTTGCTCACCTAAAGAGCTGGCAGAACTCCTTTTGAGGAGCACAGGTGGTGCCTCAGGCTCTTCTTCGACCAGGTTCTCCAAGTCCTGCGAGGAGTCGGGCACTGGTTAAAGGCCTCACCACCGACGATTCACCAGCAGCGGGTTGGGCCCGCAAATCAGCCCAGTTACGGGCCGGCGGCATCAGGTGCTGCGGCACACGCAGTCCGCCCACCGTCCGGGGAACAACCTCACCAGTGGTTCCCACCCTTCCCTACATCAGAATCACCAGGGGAGGTGGCGCAGTTTCTGAAGTACAAGCGGGTCAAAAACTGCCAGGCTCTAAATGCCTAAGTGGTAGGAGCCAATGATTTATCTCACCAGCTGCTGTGGGAACCGCAGCCGGGATCTGTTGCCTCCTCAGAGGGGTCCCTGCCCGCACGCTCAACCCATCCCCTCACGTGGGCCGGTTAAGAAGGGAACAGTGGCGCGTTCTACATCCTTGCCCCTGTGAGGGCCACCTGAGCCTGCCGGCCGTGGCCGGTCTTCCACAGGAGGCAACGGACCGGCTCCGGGGCAGGGCTGAGGGAGGACCCCAACACGAACACGCAGGGAGCCACGGCTTTTACCCTCACGTGGCCGCGCTCGGAGCTCCCGCCCTTCATTCCTTAGCGCCAGCCTACCGCACTCAGCAGCCCATTTCCCACCAAGAGGGTGAAAAAGCACTTCCGAGGGGTGGAACTTCCGGCAGCCCCGCCCCAACGCGGAGTCTAATGGGCAGGGATTAGTAAACACTAGATTGGCGTCTTCAAGCGGTGGAAAAGGCACGACTTGAAGGGTAAATCCTCCAATCTCCCTGCCCTGGTAAGGGCTTCCTCTGCTCAGAGGGGCCTTCACCCCATGAAGGTAGCTGGGAGGGCTCCGAGATGGAAGAGGTGGGCTCTGGGGCCTTGGCCTCACACAAGTGTGCAGGCTGGTGGAGGAAGTAGGGCCCACATTCCTCTCTCCCAACCTTCCCTTCCCATGCATCCTGTCATTTTCTGATAAAACTAATACATCTGAAATATTTGCTTTTAAAATTATATTAGTTTTGTGCTCCCTTCTGCAGCACATATATTCAAGTTGCAACAATACAGAGATTAGCATGGCCCCTGGGAAAGAATAACCTGCAAATTCATGAAGTGTTCCAAATTTTTTGAGAAAGATAAATACCTTATGATTTCACTGGTATGTGGAATTTAACGAACAGACTGAGCTACCAAGCAAAATAGAGACAGACTCACAGAGAACAAGCAGACAGCTGGGGGTGGGGGATGGAGGGAATGAACAAACAAAAGTCCATCCCTCACCATTTCGTGCTTCTACTTTCAGGGCTTCACTCTATTGCGGTTTTTTAAAATATATTCATTAAGAAGTTGATCAAGACAGTGAAACTGATACAGCACATGCTTGGTTGTCTGAGTTAATGATATACCCCTGTATTACAATTATAATTAAAATTACTGTACGTATGGACTATAGGCCTATGTATTTGAGCACTCCAGTGTCCGATAGCCTGGGGACTGGCGCCAGGCAAAGTGCTCCACCATTGTCTCCTTGCTCAGCCTTGTCTCCCACCCTGAACGGCCTGCCTCGAGCCTATAGATTAACTCCCATCTTGCTCTTATCTATTCACATTCCAGAGGCTCCATGCATGGCCCCCACAGGGCCAAACCCTAAGGGACAAATTCCAGATACAACAGGCAGATATAAAAGACACGAGCCCCTACATTGAGCGCGGCTTCTAGGACTCGACCCCCGGAGTCTGTGAACCCGCCCGGAGTGTACCCAATAAAGCCTGATCCCTGTTTATTCGGCTGATTGGGTCTCCAGTCTCTTCTCTGTTTTATTCGGCGGCGCCCCCGATTCCTTACATCCAGCAATCCTTCAATGCCACATGCAACCACTAAAATCTGGAACAGATTAACAAGGATAGACGAGGGAGACTGTACATGGACAACACTGTGGTGATTGCGGGGTGGAGGGGGATGGGTGGAGGTGGAAGAGGGCATAGAGTGATAAATGGTGATGGAAAACATTAAATTTAAAAACATGTAAAATAAGATTCTATTAGTTTTAACAAACAGTGATACTCCCAAGATGTCCATAGCTAAAATCTGCACATGGATTAAATTCAAGACTGTAAGAAAAAATATTTAAAACTATTTCTAATAAAACATGATTTCTATAAGTAACTTTGAAACAGCAAGCCAAAAATAACAAACTCAATTAGAAACGGATAGCTTTTATTCTCTGGGAAATTTACTGCTTCCTTCACACACCATCCCCAACCCCCACAAACAAGATTACATTATTACAAATGAGAAAAATGTTTATTAAGCAAACAATTTAATAGTTCTCCTTTAGCAGAATTTTACAGATTACAGCACAACCTAAAGGCAACTATAGTTTCAATCATTAACACACTACATAGGGTACTTATTCTACAACTGAAAAGTTGCTGAAGTTTGTGACATGCCACTATAAATGTAAGTATTATTAAAAATTACAAATTGTTTGGTGATTATTTTGATAACCTCTTGAGCAGCAGCTCCTGCAAGGGAAAAGGAAAAAAGTAAATCTTTGAAAAAGGTATTTCAAGAATTGTATAAAAATATTCAATTTTGTAAAGAAAACCTTCCCTTTTTCCAAAAGCAAAGGTGTTTAAAAGTAATCCAAACAGACATGATTCACTGAGTCATATCAAAATAAAGGACTACAACATTTTTTATAACTATGTTCTCAAAAGAAAAGTTTTGTTGTATACATTCATATGCCAGTTTTAAAGAATGAAGTACTTTTTTTTTTTATCCTCACCCAAGGACTTCTTTTTTTTTTTTTTGATATTTTGTTCAGATAGAGTGGGAGGGGGAGAGAGAGAGAAACATCGACGTGAAAGGGACACAATGAGTAGCTGCCACTAGCACGACCCAACCAGGGCAGGGGACAAACTGCAACCAAGGTACGTGCCCTTAGCGGGAACCGAACCTGGGTCTCTCAGGACCGCAGGCAGATGCTCTAACCGCTGAACCAAACTGGCCAGAGCAAGAATGAAGTACTTTTAATAATGGTGGTTTAGAAACATTAGCAACATATATTAAGTTAAAAATGTCAATATAGTATGGCTGACTGCATTTTAAAGGATACATATAGGCAGAAATGATTCTCAAAGGGCACCTTTCTACTTTTTTTGTTTTGTTTTAAGACAGAATATTTTTATTTATTATTTTTATTTATTGTTGAAAGTATTACAGATGTCCCTCCTTTTCCCCCCATTGACACCCTCCTCCCTACCACCCCCACCTTCACTGCACTATTGTCTGTGTACATTGATTATACATATATGCATTTAAGTTCTTTGGTTTATCTCTTCCCATCCCCTACCCTCCTGTCCTCTGAGGTTTGTCAGTCTGTTCCCTACTCAAGAAGCCTGAAATACCAATCAGAAAGAATATATGTACCCCTATGTTCATAGCAGCGCTGTTTACAAATAGCTAAGAGCTGGAAACAGCACAGGTGTCCATCAGTAGATGAATGGATTAAAAAGATATGGTACACCTACACAATAGAATACTATGCAGCTATAAGAAAGATCTCTTACCACCTGCTTTACTTTTATAATAAAAAGGGAATAAAAGTGTATTTTTTTCTAAATACATTCGTATTTTGGAAAAAAATCTCTATTAAATCCTACCAGACTGCTGTAGCTACTCAAAACAAAATAGAAGAAAAAAAAATTACTAAGAAAAAAATTCATCTTTTATAATCTGAAGCTTTTATAATTATGAAGCTTTCATAAAGATTCATTGATTAATACAATGTTAGTCTCAACTATGTACCAGATGCTGTTCTAGGTACTAGGGATTAGGAAGGGGACAAAAGACAAAAATCAGTACCCTCACAGACCTTACTTTTTAGTAGTGAGGGAGATCATTTACAAATAAGTAAGATGTATAGCGTGTCAAATGACTAAGTGCTAAAGAGAAACAGCAATGAAGGATATGAGTACAAGAGTAGGGCCTGTTTTAAATCAGGGAGTGAGGGATGACTTCACAGGGAAGATAACATTTAAACAAAGACCTGAATTGCCCGGCCGGTGTGACTCAGTGGTTGAGCGTAGACACATGCATCAAGAGGTCACCAGTTTGATTCCTGGTCAGGGCACATGCCCAGGTTGTGGGCCCGATCCCCAGTGGGGGGCATGTAGGAGGCAGCCAATTGATGTTTTCTCTCATTGATGTTTCTATATCTCTCTCCCTCTTCCCTCCTCTCCCTCTAAAAAAAAAAAAAAATTAAAAACAGAAAATAAAGACCTGAATGAAGTGAAGGAATATAATGACATTGCACCACTTAATATTTAACATCTTGTTTCACTGACCTCCCTTGTTAAAATAGCTAAGAAAACAAAACTTCATAACTGTACTAAATAAGAATAGAAGCCAGTCTTTCATCTTTGGAACTCACCCCCTAAGAATGCAGCAATGGTGTGTGGCTCAGCAGCTCCATATCGGCAACTACAGGAAAGAATGGAGACATGAACTTTAAGTAGCTTTTCACAGGTATAGGTATTAACTCTTAATATGGCTTAAAAAATACTCACAATTCATGGACATAATCATCTTTCACCATTACAGATAGTCCATATTCCTGAAGGAAGCCAGTGAGACAAGACTTCAACTTTCCTATATCTTCTTCAACTTGATAGTTAGATAACCCTTAAAATATACATGAAAATTAATTTTCATTAAAATAAATATGTGATTCAAAATGAATGGCTACTTCCTTTATTTAATCCGGTTTTAGATGTTCTAGTCAAAACAGCAAGGTGTGAAAATGAAGAACAAAAATATCAGGAAGTATGAGACCAAATATCATGAACCTGTAACAATCAAAGAAACCATAAAAAAGCTATTAAAATTCGAATTTGATAAGCCTGCTTTTTCACTGCTCCATATCCAGTATCTGGAAGAGTGTCTGGCACACAGTGGTGCTCAATACTTCTTTGATAGAAGAACTGAATCAATAAAGTGATGTCCTATTTATACCCTTGAAAAAATTATGGTATTTATTATCCATTTCCAGATTAAATGACACTGAGGACATAAAGCTACAACAGGTAACACTGAGCATTAACAGATGCTGGTTACTGTTCTAAACACCATATATATTCATGTATTTATGTAATCCTCACAACTGCCTTATTTTACAGATGAAAAAATTGAGGCACAGCCCAGCCAGTGTGACTCACTGGTTGAGTGTCGACCCATGCACCAAGAGGTCGCTGGTTCGATTTCTGGTCAGGCACAGGCCCAGGTTGTGGGCCCAATCCCCAGTAGGAGGTATACAGGAGGCGGCCAACCAATGTTCTCTCTCATCAATGTTTCTCTCTCTCTCTCTCCCCCTTCCTCTCTAAAATCAATAAAAGAAAAAAATATTTAAAAATAAATATATAAAGTTCCTTAAAAAAAAATTTGAGGCACAGATTAAGTTATTTGCCTGTTACTTAGCTCATAAATAGCAAAACTGGTATACAAGCTCTGGCAGTTGTTAATGACTAAACTGTAATGTCTCAAATGATGTTATTATTATTATTACTGGAAGGCATTACATTCAGTTTTTATTAAAAAAAGTCAACCAGCCCTGGCCGGTTTGGCTCAGCAGTTAGAGCGTCGGCCTGCAGTCCGGAGAGACCCGGGTTCGGTTCCCGCTAAGGGCATGTACCTCGGTTGCAGTTTGTCCCCGGCCCTGGTCGGTCATGCGAGTGGCATCCATTCAATGTGTCCCTTTCACATCGATGTTTCTCTCATTCTCTCTCTCCCTCCCACTCTATCTGTACAAAAAGTGGAAAAATGTCCTCGAGTGAGGATAAAAAAAAAAAGTCAACCCTGGCCGGTTTGGTTCAGCAGTTAGAGTGTTGGCACGCAGACCAAAGAGTCGCAGGTTCGATTCCTGTCAAGGACATGTACCTTGGTTGCGATTCAATTCCCAGCCCTGGTTGGGGTTGTGCAGGAGGCACCAATCAGTGTGTCTCTCTCACATCAATGTTTCTCTCGTTCTCTCTTTCTCCCTCACTCTCTCCCACTCTATCTAAAAATTAATGAAAGAATATCCTCAGGTGAGGATTAAAAAATAAATAAATATTTTTTAACCACTCTGG